AGTTCTAGTTGAGAGAGCATTAATGAGTAACTTTAATTAAATTAGATCAAGATTTAATTGATTCCCATAGCATGCGATACGCCAGTGCTAGCGCTCTCATGGGTTACCGCTTGGCCTGAGATGCGCGCATATTCTGATCATACCTCCCCCATTCTAATAAACATTCCGCCACTCTCCCAATCTTATATCCTATCCGCCGCCGCGCTGGATTGCTTTTCGCTCCCTACTCCGTATTCAGCAACAACGCGGCCGCAAAATATAACGCAGAAATATTTAAAAATATCAATATCGCTCTCTTAAGTAATTGGTGACGATCGCGGGACGTGGCAGAATTAAATTCGTAACATAATTGATGACAGCAGATCCGTATTAACCGGATTGATAAACCGAAAATCGCTGCGTCTTAAACGCAATGAGACGGAAACGCGAAATTTCAAACACGTTACACCTCGCGTCGTAACATAATTGGTGACAGCGGTGGAATAGTAACAAGAACCGCTGCATCTTAACGCAGTAATTCAATAAATTAGAAATGCAGAGAATTCCGGATAATGTTTACATTCATTTACATGTTACGGCGGACGAGTCGTAACATTATTGATTTTCTAAACAATTTTTAAACCCCGAGAAAGGCTCCTTTCGGGTAACATGTATGATACGCTGGCCGATTTTCGACAGTTCTGTGCGAGATATGATGCTTATCGTGTAGTTCTGAATGTATACTAACTAGTTCCCCCCGAGTTCTGATGACAGAAATTATTTATTGTGATTTTTTAAACAATTTTTAAATAATTTCTGTCATCAGAACTCCTCGGAACTAGTTAGTATACATTCAGAGCTACACGATAAGCATCATATGTGGCACAGAGCTGTCGAAAATTAGCCAGCGTACCATACATGTTGCCCGAAAAGAGCCTTTCTCGGAGTTTAAAAATTGTTTAAAAAATCAATAAATAATTTCTGACATCAGAACTCCTCTGAACTAGTTTCTATACATTCAGAGCTACACGATAAGCATGATATGTGGCACAGAACTGTCGAAAATCGGCCAGCGTATCATACATGTTGCCTGAAAAAGGCCTTTCTTGGGATTTAACAATTGTTTAAAAAATCAATAAATAATTTCATGTTTAGTGAGTTTCCACCAAGTGATACGCCAACTTCACAAACACTAATTTGTGTACAATGACTTTAATATGCACCAGTGCACATTGAGTACATCCAATCAAATTTGTTATAAGACTGAAGCTTTAAATCATGGATACATAGAAATTCTCAATAAGTTATAATATGTTTATTTTTATCATTGACCGATATGCTTTGTTCGTGCGAAACGTCTTTCTTTGTATTTAACGAGTAACAAGAGACCACATCAGAACGAACATGTCTTTCTTTTGCGTTACAAAAATTATTTTTCAAACTAACTTTGACATCGTAATATTTAAGTGGTTATAATGGATTGACGATGCTT